CGATCGACTACTTTTGATGCTCTCTGGACTGACAGCACGTCGACCACCACCTATAAAATGTAGATCTCAACTAAATCACCTTATACAGGAATGAATATGCCTCAGCTGACCGGACCTAATTGCAGCAGTTTACCTAATCGACATAGTTCCATGAGATCTTGTACTGCTTGTGGACTTACGCGATCACGGGTACCACTGAACATTGAAATCGAAGGAGATGAGTTCCTGCAGCAGAATAATTGGAAAATCAATATAATATTTACCAGAGCGACTCACTCATCAAACCTTTTTTCTTGCTCTACTATATGTCACGGGTAAGTTGATTAGTTAAGAAAAAGAGAAAAAGGGTGAGAAAAATAATTTCAGCTTCACTCCCGCAGTTTTTTTACACATAACATTTAAAGGGGTTTTTCGTGCACTATGTGTGAAACATATTGGGAGTTAATAAAGATACCGCATACAAAGTGAGAATGCTGGCAACAAAAAAAGCAAGTGACCTAGCGTAATCTTGAGATTTACGGGTTACCAGCATTTGGGTAATGCCAACTTGACAAGGCGTGCGAAATACTCTCCCCCCATTCAAAGCTGAAATCTCTGGTTCTCACATCCAACCATAAGTTGTTTGCCATTTTTGTTTAGGTGCCATTATTCAGAAAAAAAAAACTAGGACTTATTCACGGAATGGGCACATGGCCCAAATCTGTTGGGTTGCGTTTCATATATGCCATTCGTTGGTTTCGAGCGGCTCGGAAAGTATGGATATATATCCAGCGTTAGGAGCAGGGCACATCACTGGTTGGGGATTTTGGTCGAGTCCGTACGACCCCCTCCCCCTAGTTCACTCCCAATCAAGCTGTGGAGCGGGGGTATATACTACATATGAAACATGAAAAAGCACGAAAAGTCAACAACCTTCCTCAAGAGGGAACACGACCTCCCTCCCCTCTCTCAGAAAGAAGCAAATACGACCACCTAAACGCTGGGTTTAACATGCCTGATCGATATCTACGCTTTCCTAGACGCAAAAACGCTGCAGTGCGCTCAAACTCTGACGCAAAGTATGGACGCATTCTCATGAGCTACTTTCATCACTGGCCCTAATCTCACGAGTTTTGTCGATGCAAAAGCCGAAATGCTTCGTGCGCGTGACAACAAACAAGAATTCATGCAAAACATAAGGCATAAACTAAAAATCGACATGCAAATAACATAACCACCTGCGTGCAGGATCCATAAACTCCGCACGAGCAGTGTTACCGGATCCACAAGATAGCGTACGTGCAAACATCGCTCTTCGTTGTGCGACAACCAACTCAGAAGTGTCATTTTTCGTATCACTGACATTTGGAGATTCTGTGAGAGGGCAGTACTCGGCTATGGGAGATAGGTCATCGAACTGAGGAGCTTTAGTGATCAGCGAGTTACGGGCCACGTCATTACGAATTTCTTGTTCAACCTGAAGTAAGCAATGGCGAAGCTTCACGTGCAGCTGTGTGAACATACATGGAGTGTGTATCGTTGGAAAACGATCTGAATACATAGAAAAACTGAAAATTGGATAGCATTACCAGAACACAATACACAAGACAGACGACACAGTACTGAACAAGCGATAGAACAGTTCACATAAAAATATTAGGGCTGGCGGGAAAGTTATGTCACATTTTCCAAAAGCTCCCTCAAGCCAAGTTCACATGGACATCGAGATCTCTCTTCAAAGCTGAGAGCTCCCGCTTCGGAGCGTTGGCGTCGTGAAAGATTGTTCGATAGTTGGAGTCGCATCGAAACCTCTCATGCTCGCTTCAGGGTGGTAGAAGAAGGAGTTTGAGGAGCGCTTCGAGGGTCGGTGGCAATCGTACCGCTCCATTATTTCCCCTATTGCAAAAAAAGTAGGGGTCAAGCGAGTGGCACTCATAACAATATTCCTTTGCTATCACTGCTCAATCTATCATCCCTCTTTAGGTAATGGGCAATTTTTGGGTTCAAAAAGTATGATAGAACTTCCCCGCCAACCTAATAGCAAAAGGCATATAGAAGTCCAAAATTGAACTGACCGACTACTATGACGACTTGAGCGCAGGTACGAGCACAACTCCTCTTCGCTCTCCTCTTTGAGAATTGTACACGGACGAGCACGCCAGGAATTCGATCTGCTACGGCAACGCGAGCCTACCGAAGGAGTTGCTCCCGGTAATCGAGATTCACTGAAGAATACCAATTTAGAAGCAAAGCAGTAAGGTGCAAGGCTTGAATAAAAAGGTCCTCTCAGATAATTTTCGACAGAAAAAAAGCATTGTGATCATTTAGCCTTTACTGTCTTTAAGATGGTGGGCTACCCCTGCTCTGTTTCCCTATAGGCAAATTTGAAGAAGAATTTGCCCAAACTTCAAATTTTGCTTTGGCATTTAGCTTCCAGGCAGTCTGAGTCCTGGAGGGCAGCTTAATTTTGGGTACATCATCGTTCATCGTTGAGAGCATCCCATCAAGAGGGAAAGGGTCATTACTGAAATTGAGGGTTAAGGTGTCGATATGTATCATAATAACCCCTCCTTCGCCTAGCTGGATAGCCGTTGCAATAGCACTATACTACTACTACTTCTACTTCTGTGCCTGAAACTTGTGGAACGTGGAGGCGATTAACACCACCACATCACATTTCACGATGTTGTACCCTGCTCAAAAGGGATCAGAACCGGTAGGTGCTTTGAAAGGTGTAAAGGTCAAGCGTAAATAAAGTCAAGATGGAATATTGAAAAGAAAAGTTTTCATCCTGAAAATTCGAATAATAGGTGACCGAAATTACCTGTCTTGTAACTCTTCATCGGGTATGCCAGACCCTTCTCTAGCCATTAATTCCTTAGCTTGTTCTTCCCTGCAGGTGGCTAATATGCGTTCAGCGAGAAGATAGTAGGTGGCTGTCATGGAGTTATACTCGTCATTTTCAAGAGCTCTGAAAGAGAAAATTTTTGACCGCAAAGTAAACCAGCCAGTAGTTAAGGAATACCTAAGTATGGCTTCCTCTGATCCAACTCCTCCTGCCACCATCTGTTCTATTATGGTTGTATGGGCAGAATGGGGTAAATGATGCTTGACAATTAGAGGTAACATCTAGAAAATCATAGCTTTATTCACTTATTTGTTCTACAAAGACGAGCAACTGGAAATGTACCGCAGCATGTCCTCGATCACCTGCCATGACCCACGCATTCGAAGCGATTTCAGCCAAACTTGCTCTCTTTGATGGATCTCTTACTAACATACGTTGGATAAGACTAAACAAAACTTACAAAAATGCTGAGGAGGCAAGGACTTAAAGACACATCTTGCGATTGAAAGACATGGGTTGAGGGACTACATATGGATTTTTACTGGGTAAAAGTCTTGCCAGAGTAGAAAGATGCAAAGAAATCGTCGAGAATGCACTTAATGAGATCCCTTTCGAGTTTTTACGAAGTTTGTGGACGAGTTCCTTGAACGTTCTGGCTTTGAGCCAGCACGTTAATATCGTTGGTTATGTTAACATTTATTATGTTCGTTTGCCATATTAAGCATATCCTGAGAGAGAGTGGGCGGGGTTTCCTGAAAACATGACCCCCTTGGATCTTTGCCACGCAAATCCGAAGGGCGAAGGTTCCACCCGTGATGAGAATGTCGATCTTTGCACCTTATGCTCGGAAAAGGTCCCACCTCTCAAGTAATCGCAAAACGCGCTTTGAAATGAAAAGTCCCTGTATCAGAACGAAGATTGATTTATTAGGCTGTCTGAAACTTACTTTCTACAAGCGTTTGAAAGATGATCTGGAGTATTATATCGACAGTCGAGTATTTTAGTAAGAGTTTCCGAGTCGTTCGCTTCTTGAAAAGGTAATCGTCCACATACCAACATAAAAAGAATAACTCCCAAAGACCACACATCTGAAAGGACGCAGTTCATTAAAGAACGGCGATGGGACGACAAACAGCCAAGAGTGCTCACCTACTGCGGGAGCATCGTAAGCATCACCGAGAAGGATCTCAGGAGCAGAGTAAGCAAGCGAACCACAAGCTGTACGTAATTGTTCACCAGGCTCAAAAAGGTTAGAGAACCCGAAATCGGTTAACTTCACCATTCCGAGTTTTTCAAAGAAAACCACATTTTCTGGCTGAAAAAGATCGAATTGGAAGGCAGGAGGAAAACGAAAAAGGAAGAGAATCGATGCCAGTGCAGTTGCGGGTGGGAGGTGCGGCGACACTAGCCGCGTCAACCCTGGTTGTCTGGATCTACCCAGGCTGAGCGGGTCCAGACGAGCAGATATATGCCGCGATCATACTTTGTGACTAAGGTACTTGGACTGCCGAATCTCTGCAACTGCTAGCCAACGACGCCGATCGATACCCATGTGCGAAATAGTCCTAAATACCGAATCGCCCAAAACGCCGGATCCGATTCTCCCCAGTCCCGGCACCTTACTTTCCACTTTACAAAACATCTCAAATCACCAAATCTTCCCAGTCACAGAGTATGAACGCAGCTTACTCACGCTAGCGTCCCCTCCCCCTCCTCAACTACATTGGCGCCGGAAAGTCATCGTTACCTTCAAGTCACGATGAACAACGTGGAGGCGATGACAATAATCTATAGCGGTTATAATTTGACAAAAATACTGCTGAGCTAAAGATTCTTCGACACCCTAAACTAAGGCGTAGTATAAAGACCTTCATTTCTTAACAAAAAAAAAACATGATTTCAGAGCTAAAAATGCAAAAAAAAATGCACAAAAACTACAGGTGAATAACTAAGAAAACTCAACAGAAAACGAAGAAAACACTAACAAGGAAACATACATTTTCATGTTTAATTATGAAGTCGTGCATGTCATAGTCGCCCAATTCAAGAATAAGGAACAACTTCGTATTAGTGTCGATAACCTCATAAAGCCGCACAATATTTGCATGTTGTACTAGTTTCATACATCTCACCTCAAAAGGAAAGTAGGTAATTGTTTGAAAAAGAGGAGACAATTGGACTCTTTCCAGACATGTTCGCTGTAAAGTTAAAAATAAATCGTAGAAATAAAAAGTTTTGATTTGCATTTATGAAATATAGGGCTCTTCAGAGATTTTAGGTTAATGTTTTCCCTGGCTTCTTTTGGCCTGCCTTCTGAGCTGCTCGGAAAGTGCCATTGCTCCAACCCGAAGTTACAGCAACGATTGCGAAAAATGGCAGGATGCGTTTATACTTTGCCTCATCGTTTTGAGCGCGAGGCAGCGCTTTAAGCATTTCCAGCATACCACTGCGTTGTGAGAAACTGGAAAAGTAAGGTATCGGGCTACGTTGGGCTCGCGAAAAGCTAAAATCTAGCCGCGAAACGCTTAAAGCGCTGGCGTGCGACCAAAACACTGAAGCAAACTAGGAACGCAGCCGTATAGCGCAGTTCGACATGGTGAGGTCATCAAATGGTACTTATACAGGAGCAGCTTCACAAATTTCTAGAGGCCCCACCAGCGAACGACCTCTCAGTCAACGTGATCTAGCAAAAGAAGCAGGTTAAAGTGCAAAATGCTCCCTTGTCCCCACCCCCCACTCTAAGCGAAATAGCACCGCTGTGCTAACAAATTTTGTTTCCTTTATATACGGCGCTCAGTAGACATGCTTAGAAAATACAAGTATCCAAACCCAGATTCGACAGGCTGGCGGTTAGGAGAGCGGGAAGACTATGCCTTCCCTCGACTTCCGTCTAAGGGTACGTGCAAAACAGAAGCTGAGCTACTTCATTGCTTTCGTCCCCTTCCCTCAATATTTCTCATTTGCTCGGCTGAGA